GCAAACTGTCAATCTCGACAGCACGAACACCTATACCAACACACCAACACACCTATACCACTCTCCCACATCTCGCCCCTCGTACGTTTTGACCACGCCCACAATCCTGCCAGCATGTACGGCAATGTTTTTGCCCCAAACGAGCTGCGCTCATTTTTATGGCCTGACATGTTTGTTCTTGCTGCTGCTGCTGTTGCTGCTGTTGCTACTGTTGCTACTGGCATCCCACAACCCCCTAACCTGCCCATTCTTTCTTTCACTTTCTCTGTGCCATTTCTCTTTTTGGTTACCTTCACAACACATCATGTGTCTTCGCCTCTAACAGTTCTCCTCACCCGCACCGCGCCGCGCCTCGCCTCGCCTCGTTCCATTCTTCACCCGTTTCTTTTATTATTTTTTGTTGTACATTTTCAACTGTAATCACATCATTTTACATCATATTTCATACTTCATCTTGTTTTGCTTGAATGCAAAAGAAAAGTGAGAGAAAAGTTCGGCCAAAAAATGGCAAAGGAAGGAACTTGTGGCACACATAGCCCCACAACATACAACTCGTTTTCGTTTGTTGTCCCAAACACAGCTGCGAGGTTCGACGTAATCGCAAATACAATGGAGCCACAGAGGAAATTACTTTAATGTGGGATCCACTCAGGCACCGCTGGATATTGGAGTTGCCAGGGCAACATACATATATACATACATAAATAGATAGGCTCAAGGAAACCAGAACAAGATAAAGTAATGAAATTGTACTTATTGACGTATTTATGCAACATTTATTTAAGTAGATTTAAAATGGATTTATCTCTGATGACATGATTTATTAATCATGTTTATTGATGGGCGATTACCAGAAAATCTTTTTCGTTTAATAGTTTTAGGCCCGCAGGGTAAATGGAATAATAATTGTTACGAATCTTATTAATTTTTACAAATAATATAGATACGATTAGTGTTTAGCATATTTAATTTCTTACTCATAATTTATGCAATATATTGATGCATATTAATTGGCGCACAGTTGAAAAATTACATCATTTTTTTGCCAGGATTGTGTGGGGGCCACGGCCAATTTATACATAAATTTCGTTACCGCAAAGAGCCTCGTAAAGCTACGTAAATCCCCGACTAATTTGATGAAATACCAGGCAAAAATATGGCAGGACAGGACCAGGAAAAGGTCATAAATCCAAACAGAGAACAATGCGCGAAAAGCGATTTTCTCTCGAAAATTTTATTAACATCGAGAGCTTGAGGAAAGTTTCGGACTTGAAGTTTTGCATAATTTCCAGTTGAATGGTCGCAAAAGAGCGGAACAAAGGACTCAAAGGACCACCAAGAGTCGGAAGGAGAATTGTGGCCAAACATTTAACGACGCATAAAATTTATAAATATCTGAGGAGGGGGTGGGGGGATGCTAGGTCAGATCCGCATAATTTTGCATAATTAATGCAAATTGCAATTTTTATGTATTTGTATTGGGCAAATCCTTGAGCTTTTGCCGGGATTTCTGTGTTTGCCTTTTGCCTTTTCCCCTGTCCACAATTCGTTGTATTTTATTTTTTTTTTTCTGTTTCCGCTTAGGACATCAATGGGAAATTACAATGTAAATTAACTGGATGTAAAAGTTTGTCCCCTCAGCTGCGAACTGCGAACTGCGGCCTGCATACGTAAGCAGGACGAATCAGCCAGCTCTCTGCTGGACGGACTTCAAGTAGAATTTAGTTCAGAGTCGGTTTGTGTGGACTCAAAATCGAAATTGATTGTGCACCACATCCTACTCCTACTTGATCTCAAAAAGAGTCCCGGTCCCGTCCGCTCCTTTGACGGAAACTGGCAAAAGGCGGAAACATTCGCGTCAACATACACGGACAGGCGCACGGACAGGACACATTGGCAACAGTTTGGCACGCATATCGGATGGGAGATGGGGTGTGAGATGGTGGGTTGGGTTGCAAACCGGGAAAGTAAGTTTCGAAATTGGGCCGCTGCCCGTCCTGACAGTCTGACAGCCGGGAAAGCTGCGTGCCAGTCTTCTAAACACGACAGGGAAACAGTCGGAAAAAGGACAGACGGACAGGCACGGGCGGACAGGCGAACGACAAAAACAAAGCAGCATTAAAAACTCATCATCCGGCCACGCTGCAACGAAATAAAGAAAAATGGAAACCATGGAAAATGGGTGGCAAAAATCTGCTGGTGCTGCTGGTGCTGCTGGTGCGGTTCGGCGGTACAACTACTGCTGCCGGCAATAGCCGGTTGACTGACATTTGGAATGCAGCGAATCTAGCTTCTGCCTCGGCTTCCTGGTCCCTCGGGCCCCATTCAAGAGGCAAGACTCAAAGCCAACTGTTGTTGGCAGTTGACGCGGGGACAACGAACCGTCCGTTTGGCCACTGGAACGCGCTGGTTACCTGATCTTGGCCTGGCCAAGAAAAATCCCCACAAAACAGTCCTACAATGCGATATGCATTTAATTCTCTTTTAGTAATATTTGATCAGACTACAGGTAAAGGTAAACATTGTTTACACCTTCCCTTCCGCTGTTTAAACCTTAAATATACAACATCCTCTCTACATGGGATTATTATTGAAGTGCACAGCACTGCAACGATACTGATGGGTTTGGGGTACAAATCAAACAATTCGGGCACGCCATAGCAGCATAATTCGCGGGATTATATGCAGCTGGCATGCCAAACTGTGATTACATATGTATATGTAGCTGGCGAGAGGAGGAGAGAGGCAAAGTACTTATGGTGCCTCCTTCTGCCTCATTCATTTTGTTCAAGTTGCCCGAAAAACCCTTTGAATAAATATATTTATGTGCGCGTATGTGTATAGGTAGGTGTAGAAGAGATTGGTGTGGCGGGCGACTCTCTTCAGTTTCCGTTCAAGTGCATGCAGCAAAATTAATTGCTTTGCACTCGAGAGCACAACTTTTGCCGCTCCATGCTCTCATGCTCTCATGCTCGATTTGGGGCCCAGTGTCCCTCTGTGTGTGTGTGTATTGACATTAATCAATGACAATTTGGCACGGCCAGGCGCGTCTTCGAGTAGGCAGCAGATTGTGGCATGCCAGGCAGGACAACAGAGAGAGAGAGAGAGAGAGAGAGAGAGAGAGTTCGAGAAGCCACTCGAAAGTGTCAATATCAAATGAATTGCAATTAAGCACAATTCATCAAGTGATGTGTGGGTGGCTGGGCTGGGAGTGTGTTTGTGTCTGTGTGTGTGTGTGTGTGGAAAAAGAGTTTGTCAGTGGCACAATCCATGCTGTCCGCACTTTACCCTCAGCTCCCTCAGCTCCCTCATCCATGGTAATGCCAATTAATGATTACTGACACAGAGCTGCTGCTGCTGCTGCTGCAATCGCATTCTCGAGCCACTTACTCCAAACCCACCCCAACCCCACCCACCCACTCGGGGCGTTGACAATTAAAACGTTTCGCAGCGTCCTCTTCGCCTCCTCTCTCATTACACAAAAGTACTGTGCCTGTGTGCCTTTGTGCCCGTTGCCCGTTGCCCGAACAGCGGACAGCGGACATCATGCGGTTGTCCGACTGCCGCCTGCCGCCTGCCGGAAACGGAAATGATAAGCGAGTGTCAACTTGCCAACTGTTTTTATGCCAGCACGAAGTGCTACTCCCTACTGCGCTCTTCTCTCTCTCTCTCTCTGTCTCTCGGGGGGGAGGAGAGTGCGCTGTGTGGCATTTTGTTTGTAAAATTTAATTAGAAAAGTTAACTTCTCAAGAGCTGGTCAGGTGTCCACCTCAAGCTTCGGCCTCTGCTCTTGCTGCTGCTGCTGCGCCTGAAGATGCCTCATTAACTCTTTCAAGGAGCAGCGCACAGGGGCACAAGAGTCGAAGCCACTTTTGATAAGTGCGTGTTGCGAAAAAGTTGCTCGAATTTCCAACGCCACCAAAAACGTGACAAAAACTTGTCAATGCATGTAAAGTGGTGAGGGGGTCGGGGTGCCTCTTGGACTGCGGAACTGAGCACCAACGAAGCGTGTCGAGTATGCAAAATAGGATGGGCTGCAAGGACAGCGACAAATGTCCGACATTAGCCGTAGAGCGTACCAAAAAAAAAAAAAACCAACCAAGTGCCAACGGTTTTTGGGGCTGCACCATAACGACTGGCAGATATCTCGTAAACGGGCTTGAGACTTCGAAAGTCAGTAATCGCCCCGTTCCCTTTGTAATTTCTTGATGCTCTTTTGGCGTTGGAACATGCCCTTTGTGCGTTACAAAACATCTACTTGAACACGTTATACCCTGCAACTACTCCGGAAAAAGAAGAGTCCAAACAACAACAACAAAAAAAGGAAACGCAGGGCAGTGCGAGAACTTTAGGGCAGGACAAAGTAGAGGAACAAGTTCGCTGGCGGTAACCTCGTTTATTATGTCATCGTCATCGTCGCACAGCGAACGGGGAAACCATTTTGCGGCAGCCAGCGGGTGGCTGGATGCCACACAGGTGATTGGGCGACGTAGCCCATTGCGTCCTCTTTGTGAACGTGCCCCGCTGCAGGAGCAGGCATAAAACTATGCGCACGACCAAACCGCGTGGGTGCAAAAGTTTTCCAAGGAAAATGTAGTCGATGGAGACCTGCTGGAATGCATTTGGGGTTGCCTGCCGTCCTGTCCTGGGACAGGACAGGAGATCGGGTGTAGCGGTGTCGTGGAGTTGTAACTGTAAACTTATGCAACTGGCCGCCAACTGAGCTTGTTTCGATTTATAAGCTGGGGCGCTGTCCTTGCGCTGGCCAAATGGGCTTTGGGTGGGCTGGCCACGTGGGTCGTGGTGGGCTAGGAAAAAAGGCATTCACGTTGGACGTTTCTTATCAACGTGCAGCAGCCATAGAAGTTCGGGTGCATTGACGGCAAACAAATGTGAAAGTAAAGTACAATGAGAGGCGCTCCTGATTTGGTTTACAAAGGAGAATTAATGTGGGAGTGTGTAGGACTGGCTTTGGGCGAGGGACTTCCTTTGAAAGACAACTCAAAAAAATCAACATTCGATATGACATGACATGTGATCGAGTATTCAGAAGTCAAGCAATTTACCGAGTGTCTTCTTCGAGGAATGCCCTATACGGACAAGAACCTTGGGGACAACTATCGCACCGTCCAGCACATCGTACTGGACGTATCCGAGGAATACATTGAGCCACCGGAACCGCGTGCCCGATGGTGGTCAGGTGGCGTTGCCTCCACCTGCGTCGCCTGCTTCGTGGCACCCATCGATCTGGTCAAGTCCCATATGCAGACACAAATTAAAAAGAAGGGCATGCTGGAAACGGCCGCCCAGGTGATCCGTTTGCGAGGTTAGCTAATCGAATACGAATTAGGTGCCTCCGACTAATGATTCAGGGCTTCGTGACAGGGTTCATTGGCTTCTACGACGGCTTCTCGGCGGCGGCCCTGCGGCAGATGACCTGCACCAATATCCGATTCGGCATCTATGAGGCGGGCCGCTATGCCGAGCCCATACGTGACAACAATTTCGCCAAACTGGCCCTGGCCGGCTTTGCCGGTGCGGTCGGATCGATCTGCGGCATACCCACGGATCTGATCAATGTGCGCATGCAGAACGACATGAAGCAGAACGATGCGGAACGACGCAAGTAACTCTCCACCCCCCCTCCCTTTTTGCTTGTGCTGTGAGCATTAACGATCTCAGCGGTTTCTTTTCCTCCCCATTCCCATGCCCATTCCCGAACCAAGCTATAGGCACGTTTTCGATGCGCTCATCCGGATACCCAAGGAGGAGGGCTGGCGCGCCTTCTACGCGGGCGGAACGCCGGCGGTATTCAAGGCCTCGGTGGGCACCTGTGGCCAGATAGCCCTCTACGATATTGTGAGTGCAAGTTTTCTGGGGATAACACAATCCAGATGTGAGACTATCCCATCTGTTTCCTTTAACCCTCCATCAAAAGGTCAAAACTGAGCTGAGCGAGAACTTCGATATGCAGGATGATGTTATCCTGCACTTTGACAGCTCGCTGATATCCTCGATATTCTCCTCGCTGATCTCGCATCCCTTCGACGTACTCAAGACCCTGATGATGAATGCCCGACCTGGGGAGTTTCGAGGCGTATTCCATGCCGCCATGTACATGATGAGGTTCGGCATCCTTAGCCCTTTTCGTGGCCTGGCGCCGACCATTTTGCGCAAAGGTCCGGCCACCGTAAGTCTCTTTATTATCTACGAGCAGCTGAGGCTACGTTTCGGCTATGTTGAGGATGAATAAAGCGAGAGAGGAGAGTTTAAAGCGAGTTTCTAACCGAAAGATCATTGAACCAGAAGGGGCACAGTCTGGCTGGGGCTGGCTGGGACTGGGGCTGGGGCCATCCTTTGCTATCAGAAACATCAACCGCAACTGCTCACATTATAAATTGATTACCACTCGCAACGTGACTAATGAACATTAGTTTGTCCAACTCGTTGGCGCTGCTGGGGACGCAGTTGTGTGCCTCCAAAGTTGGTGGCTGGGGGGGGCCAAATGCCAGCACGTGTCCGTGTCCCAGGCATAGTTTTCAGATGCCAGGAGTGCGGCAAGGGGCGGCAAGGGCTTGGATGATGACAACTAGGCGTACTGCACGAGCAACAATGCCCAGACAGCGAGTCAGCGAGCATAGGGAAAGTTCCACTGTTGTCTCCTCTCGGAGCATCTGACATCGTTTTGTCGTGGAGTGTTGTGTCACGTATGCGAGGTAAATGTTACACGTATGGTGCAGAGAGAGGGAGAGAGAGATGGATGGATGGATGGATGGATGATGGGTGGGTGAGGGACCACGACAACATATGGAGGACACACCACTGCACACACACATGTGTCTCTCCCTCTATTCTGCCACTCCACTCCACCCTTTAATCATGATTGCAATCATTGTGGAAATTGAATTTGTAAGTAGGCAATTTGAGGGTGGGTGAGGGTTTGCGCGGAAAAATAAGAATAATGCGACGCAATGGAACCAAATTAGTGCAAATGGCGGGCTATAGAGCGACAGCTAGCGATGGCAATCCAATGCGATATATATGCTCTATATTGTGCTCTATATTGACTCTAGATCCTAGAGGATATTTCATAGAAGCTGCCCATATAGCAGAGAGCGTTTTTCTTTACTATTTTCTTTGATATTTTCTTGGGAATATTTTCCTTTCTGGCACAACTACACTACTCGCAGCTACACCCAGTTAAAGTCCCACGCTCTCACCTCCAGCCAGCCAACCGCAACACACTTTTAAGCCAACAGCTAACACACAAACTCGCACTTAGACACCCCCCGCCTTCCTCCCTCCCCCTGCTCTGTGTCTCCCTCTCTATTTGCATAAATGCTCTCAGCCAAGTTTATGACTGACTTGCGATTGCATCCACAATGAGGTTTTGCCTCAGCTGGCGGATACGAAAGATATATAGAATACCGGGAACGGTGGGGCGGGGTGTTGGCTGTCTGGGGGAGGGGGGGGTCTGTGGTGTTTTCTGTGTTGGTTGGCAGGTTATTAGGCGCTAGGCTTGCACATTTTGTTTGCCATTAAAATAATTTGCATAGTTTGTATTTATGCAGGCGGTTTGGCATACGGGCACGGGGTATGGGGAACGGGGCATGGGGCACGGACTCCGGCCACATCGTTTTGCATTATTAAATAATACGCATACGCACCGTTGACCCGTTTTCGGTGCATAGCTCTGGTGAGCGAGAGACAGAGAGAGGCAGAGGCAAGAGAGATGGCGTGAGGTCGGTGAGGTGGGGTTGTGCAATCAATGTGCAATTGAATGCTTTATAGTAGAGGTGCATGCACCGTATATTTGAGGTTGCTTTGGCCGAGATTGTTTTGCAAATAAATACGTGCGTGTGCGGCAGAGAAGTCATCATGGCAGCGGCCAGGAAGTGCACTAAATGTTTGACATGCGCTGGCTCAGTTTTGAGGTTGAATCAACATTCAGCTGGTTGTATGTATTGGTTGATTGGAGTTTCCTTCACGCATTTAAGTGCGTAAATAAACGCGGATCGAAAGGCATTCCTCCATATTGTTTGCATATTTTTTTTACTCAGTCTGCCTTGGGCACATCATCGTAGTAACCAAAATACAGGCGAAACTGTTCGAATAGGACGAATGTGAGGATCGTGTTGGGCACCATTCGCATCAGGCTGGGTACAGCGCCGCGAAAGAGTCCCCGCGGCCCGAAGCGCATCATGTAGCTAAAGAACTTATCCGCCTTGCCGCCGTCCGGGGCTCTGGTGGTCATGCGCAGCGTTTTCAGGATCTCGATGGGCTGGCACAGTGGACCGCAGAGCAGGGCCGCCGTCAGGGAGCTGATCACGTGCAGCACTTTGCTGTCGTCCTTCAGCTCAAGGTAGTACCTGTAGTTCATCTTGGCCTGGGAAACAAAAAAAAGAACCAATAATGGAGATATCGGATGGGAGGCTGGTTCGAGGATGTCAGCGTCACCTGATCGTAGACCGCATTCTGGCCAATGGTGATTAGGGCCCCGCGCACGCACGAATAGCTGCCACCGTGGTAGAGCGACATCCAGCCCTCATCGCGAATCACTTTGTACAGGCCATGGAAGACATTTCGGTAGTTGCGCCTGTTCTTCTCGGGTAGGGCCCGGTCCACGTGCATCCTGGTGTTCACCAGCTCCGTGGGTATGCCCACACAGCCCGCCACAACCCCAGCCACGCTGGCCACACCCACCTTGTGCAGGAAGTTGTACTCGTCCACGTACCGCTTGCCGGTCTCGTACAGATGGAAGCGAAGGGCCACATAGGTCATCTGGCGCAGCAGCTGGGCACTGAGGCCATCGTATAACGAAAATAAGCCTATGTATGCGGAGGGACGTTGCGTTCAGGTGTTGCGCTCGTCCAAGCATATTTTGTACGGCTGCTTACCATGCTCTTTGATAGCCAAACGGATGGTCTGCGCCATAGTTCTGTCCTGCTTGACGATCACCATGCGCGTCTCCAGAAGGTCGAAGGGGGCCGTGAATAGCTGTGTGGTTGCCCCAGCCAAGCCGCCGCACCACCAGCGTGGATATAACCTGCAATCATCCGTGGAAATGATCAGTAATCAGTGATCGAAAGCGGGAGCATCGCACACCTTCGTTCCTCCTGCAGGACGTCGTAGTACTTGTATGGAAACGCCAGCTTGAGGGAGCTTCAAGTCGTAGCTATGGGGTCTGAGTCGACATGACTTTACCTGACAGCTGAATGCAAAGCTAACTTGACCCAAAGTGAAGCCGAGCACTGGAGCCCAGGACACTTCTAGGGTCTTGCGACGTGTGTCAGTTGTGCTTCCGACCATTAACAAGAGCACTCCGACTGCGTTGTCTAATTGCTGCTGTTCCAAGTTCGAACTAATTGAGGCATCTCGCCACCCACTCGCATCTCGCCTGCATACGGCCAACTTTCCAACCCAAAGAACTTATTGCCACGCAACGCAGGTGTTGCAAGGCTTTTCAGTAATTTGGCATAGTTTGGTGGCTTTCCCTTCGCACCCCCCGCCCCTCAAGCGAAGTTTCGAGTGTGCGCTGCTCTGCTCTGCTCTGCTCTGCTGTTCTGTTCACACAGTTGTCGTGGCATTATCATCGCCCATTAGGCATAACCAATGCGAGAATGTGCAGTCCACCCAAATTGGTTACAAGTTTGGTTACAGATTAGGGGGGGAATTGAAAGTTATTTCGAAGGAGTGCGAGCAACGAAAGAGCTTAGCTGTGGGTAAGATACATGCATGCGAATGTAGGTGGATTGTTAATTAAAAGAAGTACTTTTGGCAGCCATGCTAAAGGGAACTTAACTGGTTTGGGGGACAGCCTCTGCAGCATGTCAATAGAGTGGATAAATGTACGCATATTACAGACTCCAAATAAGTGTACCTATCTACTATTTTATTATCGATTACGGCCCTAAAAAGGGCCCAGTTTAATTGCGCTTAAATTGAGTGAGCCGCAGGTGAACCCATTCCCTGGCCACGTCCCCGCCTCCATATGAACTATGTCGTTGCTGTGGATCTATGGCATTTACCGCGCAGCGCAAATCGTTTTTCTTTCCTCATTAAGTGCATTTATTTATTTATTTTTTTGCACAAGCCCCACTCTGGCAGCCCGCACCATCAATCAAGTGCTCAATCAATCAATTCCGCATTCCGCATTTATTTTATTGCCTTCAATTTCAATGCAAGTATGGTTCAAATGCAATAGCAACAGCAATAAAAAATACTAACTACATACATAAATATGCTCGAGTATATATCTATGTGTGTACATATATTTGTAGTTATAGCCGTATTTTTATTTATTGGCGGCACACTAAAAAATGTATGCTGGGCCAGCACTACTCGTCGTAGGACCCATAGGACCCTCTTTTTACTGACTTCTATCTGTCGCTTTTACAGTTAGTCTACTACTAGTCATAACTGCATTCGATTGGTAGGGGGGTGTGTTGGAGGGTTTTTTGAAATGCGTAAGCTCCAGCTGCCTCCCTGCCTCCCACTGAATGCTTTTTGTTCAGTGCAAACGAAATTACTCTTTTTCGATTTGTTATTTTTTAGTATTTTATTTCTCGTTGGAGTTGCTCCTTTTTTTGTTTTGTTTATTGCTTTCCTTTACAGCTAGCTTTTCAATTTGCCCGTAATGTAAGATAATATATCACGTATGCCCTCGCCCAGGCACTTGGCCGAGAGTGAGCACTGTCTAAACGAGACAGACACGACACGCCCTCGCCTTGGGTCCTCGATCGGTTGCCGATAATGAAATAAATCACAACTAACCTTTCTATGGCATTTCGGGTAGTTGTCGTACTAAACCCACTTACTTACAGGTAAATTATAAAGATTCTTGTTATGAAATCGCATAGCAGGGACTCCCTTAGACAGTACTCAACGCGCTCTCTCTCTCATTCCAGCAATCGCTCGTCAAATTTACTTTTGCAAATTTAATGCTCACTCTCTCTCCCACTCTGTCTGTCTGTCTCTAGATTTCTTACACACTCTCTCTCTCTGTCTTTGAAAGTTTTCGAAATAACACGTCAATTTGATATGCCTCCACATCGATGGCCTTTGTTGGACCTGTTGTTGTATCCCCCCCCCCCCATGCTGCCTGCTCGAGTCCTTCCTGCTCTCTCTGCTATTTTTTCGGTAGCACATATTATTCCGCCTCCCTGGTAATGTTTTCCCTCGCCTGTGTCTGTGGTTATGTGTGGTCGTGTCTGTTTGCCAGTATCTTAGGTTATTAGAAAAGTTTGCGGCCTGACTTGGTAAAAAAGATGGCAGGACAAAGGGAGAGGCAGAGAGCAGCAGCAAAAAGTTGGCACTCGAAGAAAATTGCATATTGGAGTTGTTTCGGCCATTTCGGACACCCCCATGTAAGCACTCTCACGGATCTGCACTCCAACTGATCTGCCAGCGGGTATGCTCTATAGCTGGAGCTTAGATTTTGCTGTCCTCAAAAATACTTACTTACTAGATGTTGCAGTCCCCCATAAAACATGCTGAACTATAGCAGAAGATCACAGTTGGAAAATGGTTCATTCGAAATGATTTCCTATAATTTTCTCGGCAAAAGGAATCAATATCCTTAAATGAAAGCCAACAGGATTTCATGATAATCTCATAGATCCCCCCCAAAAGTAAACCCTCCCATTTTTATTGCAACTTTAGATAAATATGTGAATAATATTGATATATCACACGGGTTTTTTTTTTTTTGAGAGAAATTCTTTGGATATTTTTTGCAGCGCGCCTTCCGCTTGTAGCGCATGCAACAGTCTGTCAGTGAATCCAGATATTGGCAGCGCATCACCCAACCTATACCGCGGCTGCTGGCAAACTTTCCGACAAGTACAACAAACAAGAGACTTGCAACGGCTGTGCTGTGCTGTGCTGTCGATGCCTCCAGCCACATGTAGTGCAGCTGCAAGCTGCCGACAAACTTGGCAACTCAACCAGCTAGCAGCGACCAGGACAAGCTGTGGAGCGGCAGTAGGACAAGAAGATTCTATCAAGTTTTTCCCCAGCACACTTTTCTTTTTTTGCTCCCAACATTTTTGTTGCTTTTTTTTTTGCGGCCTGTCTGGTTGCCCCTCCAACAGAGGCAATTTTCGTGTTGAACTTTTTTGAGAAATGTTTTTGGGGCAAAATATCAACACTGGAACAACTGCAGACCTGGGGGAGAATGGCAGGGCCCGGACGACAGGGATAGGGATCAGGTGGCAAGTGTAAATGACCCGACAGAGTGGGGTGTGACGTCGAAAGGGTGTTAGAAAGGTATCCGATGGTGCAACAATCAAATGGTCAAAGCTGTGGCAAAAGTCACTCAAAGGCCAGGCCCAGTCACGAATCCGGCCAGAGGTGCAACGAAAATTCCATTTTATGATAATGCAACTTGGCAGCTAGCCAAAAAAAAAAAACAAAATAGAAATAAAATAAAACCTAGGGAAAGATTGATAGTGCCGGGAAACCAAGTTGGCCCTTGGCCCGACTTGGGGTCGAGTCAAGTCCTGGCCTTATAGCCCGGCCTTTCCTGGCCACGATACGGCAGCTGGGCAACATGTGCTGTAATAATAATAACAATACAAACACCCCATCCAAACAGCTGCGAATTCGGGAATTGCTGCAGTTCTTTTTTGGCCAAGAGAAATTGCCCGAAAGCAGACAAGAAGCAGGAAACACAAGCAGCCGACTGTTAAACACCCTTTGAAAACAGAATATCAGAATAAATGGTATGCATATTAGAGATTGGAGTGGATACACTCGCATTTATGTGTGGAATACACTCCTTCAAGTTGAATAGTTTTCTGTAAGCTTTCCCAGTTTTTCCCCATCAATGTAGGCTGCAATAAAATCGATCAGGGCTTACTTCTTGAAGCCAACTGCACCAGCCGCAAGATTCGTAGCTATTCCAGAAATGCCTGTGGCTTAGGGCATGCATCCAGCTATGGCAACGTGGCGTATGCGCAATTATCAGGCAACCGCATCGGGACCAAGGAGAGGAGAGGACCTGCAGGCGAGGCGAGGCAGCAAGGACTTGACTTAAGTTTTGCTGGGTTATTTAAAGTTCGCGTTATTAATAAATGCCTCGATGTAGGAAGTCTCCGCCTCTGTTTTTTGCCTCTGCCACTGACTCTGCCACTGCCGTTGCCTCGGGCCTGGTCTGGTCTGGTCTCGACTCCGGTCTCTACTGTTCTGTTCTTTTGCTGTGCTGTGCTGTCCTGGTCTGGTATGCAACGCTTGATTAGTGCAGCGCCTAACTTATGGCCAGGCAGGGCCCCTTCTCGCTTTGGTTGGGAATTGGCGGGACGGTAGGGGACGCCAGGACGACTTCCTGCAAATTACTGAGAGTTTTGCTGGGCGCAAAGTTTGGCGCGTTATCGTCGAAAGTTTAATGGAACTATGTCGTGTCGTGCATCGAAAAGCCCGGCCCGGCCCGGCCCCAATGGGGGGGTCCAAGTCAGACAGCAGACCGTACCGTCCCATTCCCATGCCAACCCCACAGGGGGCAATGTCTCTGAAATGGGGTTACGGCAAGCGAGGAAAGGGTCCGGCATCCGTGCTGAGCCTAGTCGGGTCTGACTTAGGGATTGGCTAATTGTTGGGGACTCCGACACCGAAACCCACCCCACACCACACCACACACAATTCAGAGATTCGTGGACTGAAAAGCGAATGAGAGAAAACAAAATGAAATAATTATTCGGGGGCAGAGGAAAGCAACTGGAAATTATGGTAGGTTAGGCATAAAGTATGGTCTGGTCAGTAGGTTAGTAGCTCAAAATAAGAACAGAGCGAACAAAGGAATGCATCAAGATGCTATAATTATATTAGGACATCCCCAAAATATGGTTTGATTAGCTTCAGGGAATGCTGCAGCTAAGGGCCTTGCAAGTTCTATAACGGCTGAAACCATTCGCATGCAAACATATTCAACGTTAATGACAATTATGCAGACACTGGCTCTGCTCTGTTGTTTACTGCCATCCATTGATGAAGGCCCATCGCAGGCATCGCATCGCATCGAATATTAACGCAATTTGAACCACAACCGATGATGGACTTGCGGCCTGTGGTTAGCCCCAGGGCGTGGAACCAGAGAGAGGGCGCCACGATTGTCATCGATTGATGCCTGACGGAGAGACTCGCCTCGCCTGTTGGCCTCCCCTCCCTTGCGCCGTCTGTTTGTAATTATCAAAGGAATACTCGTATCTGAAATGATTTCCTGTTGCTGTCTGCAGTTAATGGGCCCCTTAAATTTGTTCGTGGCTCGAGGGCAGTCACAGTCATGCTGCTGCAAACTTGCTCAAAAGGCATTTTAAATGTTGCACAATATTTGCGTTTTATTCGTTCTTTGCATTAATTGCGAGTAAGTACGAGGTTGCTCTCCCGTTTCCCGTTTCCTATTTACAGGCATTTAGCAAAGTTTCTCCTGCAACTTAATTACTCTGGGACTCACACATTTGTTTTCCTTTTGCAGACATATATGTATGAGGGAAAACCGGCAACAATTAATGCTTGCATCGCGTTTTTCTCTTAATTTTATTTGCATACACATGCATTTACAATATGTACTTAGTGTTAATTCCCCATTTGTGGTAAGAGTTGTTTGGGTTTAACTTGGAAGCAAAGAAAAAGGCACTTATTGCACCACATAGTTATACGAACCTTTAATTGAAGCAAACAATTAAGTGTTAACAAGTGCTCAGTTTTATGGCTTCAGTCTGTTAATAGTTTAACAATTTAAATGATTATGAATGGGATTATATGTGAGTGTTTGTTTTTATTCAATTTAATGCAGCGCACAAAATGGATTCTTGGATCAAATTTGCCTGCTCTGTGATCTCATTTAATCTGAAAATACTCGGAAACCCCTTAATCGCTTCTCGTAGCCTCTTCATGTGTGGACAAAGTTACCCGCCACACAAGGGAAGTATATAATTTAATTCCAGGAAGGTGAAGAAATCCTTAAAAAATAGGAACTTCCGTGTGTGTTTCACCTGCTACCTACCTACCTACCTTACTATCGCTGCATATCGCATTGCCAGTTAATTTGATTGACATTTATCCGTTTTTTTTTTTTTTTAGTCGGTATGTTGCAGACCCGGATAAGGGGGGGCGTGGGCTATATCAATGGCCCCGGTTGCCGTGTGTCTTTAGTCGTGTCTGGGGCCCCAGCAGCAGCGGGCTGCCCGACTCGGTCTACACTCTACAGTCTACACTTGACACAGTGTTTGCACTTTGCGCTGATTTAATCTTTTCGTTGCCTTTGGCTGAGTGTCTGGTAACGGGGATGGGGGATGGTCTGTTCCTGTGTCTGCTACTTGGTCTGGATCCTGATTGCGCGGCCTGCCCTTCTTCGCATGGTCTCCCACTCCCAGTCTCCCCCGGTGCTACAGTCTGCGCGTGATAAAGAGCAAGAAGCGAAGCGAAAAAAAAAGGGAGAAAGAAATCCGGCTGTTTGCCTTTGGTTTGAAGGTGTCGCCGTCGCCGTCGCCTGCTCATCGACGGCATCTTCATGGCGTATTCCGATTCCGATTCCGTTTGAAGAGTGCAAGCAAAGAGGGAATAAAAAAACAAAAACTAAAAAAAAAACGCTGGAATTATTGAACATCTGATGCAGTTATGATAATGTCAAAGCATTTCCACTCAAGTGGCAGTTTGGCTAGATTCCGATTATGACAGGCAAATGGAAGAGTTATTGGAAATTAATGCAAGCCAGCCCGCCGCCACCCCTCCCCACAGACAGATGACATCGATTTGGGTCAATGAATAAAGCAAGTGGCGGGCGGGCAGTCTTAAAAATAAAATGCTCCTCTTTTTGTGGGTGGTTTTTTTTTCGATTAAGTTTCAAACCATTTATGACATTGATAGATATTAAAGCCAACGGCAAGGCTATTAGAGCCACAAAGCAGCAAAACTAATGCCCAGCTTTTTAATATCTAAAAACCGAAAAACCTAATGCCCCTATAGTTATATGTATGTATTTATGTATGAATTTTATATAAATTCTTCTTCTTTTTTTTTGTTTTTGTCCCGACCAACTGTGGTGTGGCCCAAACATTATTATAATAATTTATAAAAATTTATGTAAAAACTTTTTGTTGTTGTGCGGCGCACAGACGCAGTTAATTTGGCCAAGTTTTTGCGGCCTGTTTGGCGGTCAATTGTGTAATTTGTGTGCTGTATATATATACATATATATATATATGTATGTATACTTGAGGAAAAGTGGGTGTTTCGGATTTCATGTACATTTGTACCCCTCCCTCAGAGCCGTAGCTACAGATTATACAAATTTATGAATGTACTTTAAAATCGAAACCTTTATCCATATAACCGCAAAACATGCCCAAAATTGGTTAGTTTTAATGCAAACAGCCTGTTATTGTAGAGGAGGGTTTATAGGTACCATTCTAAATATGCTTTGTAGAGGGCAACAACGTGCCTTGCACCTGGACAATAAAGTTTTTAGATTTTTCTTTGACTATGGAACATATCTGTTGGTTGAAGGTTATAGTTTTTCCGTCCAATATTTTCTGATTAGTTTAATAAACCATTGGATAAATGTAATCATCTTTAGTTATGTTGTAACTTCTCTTTTGGCTCTGCTGAACAGTGAGGTCTAGGCCACGAGCAGCGCTTCGTTCTCTCAGCAATGTGGACGGCCGTTCTGGCCATAGCTGCACTTTGCTATTTGCGCCTCTTCTTTCACGTGGTAGTGGCATTCGAATAACGGGCCTCAGCTATAATTTAAGCCCGCATCGTGCTATCAGACTTAATATGTAATACATTCTGTGGTGTGTCGGTCAGTGGGGAGGAGTAGGAGTGCCGACTGCTCCACAAAGTTGGTCAAAACAATGGCAGCCCTATCCCTCCTCTATTGTTTCTCCCTCTCTCCCTGTGTGTGTGTGTATTTGGACGATTTGGCCCTTTTGTTTTGGTTTATTGTTTTTGAAATGCACATAAAATGCGTTTTGCTGCTGTCCTTTGTGTTCCAATGCAAGCGTTTCAGGCTCATATATTATTGATGGCTCTGGATAACAGTGGAATGAATGGAGCGTATTGTGGATGCCCCACAACAGCATACAGCACACAGCACGCAGCGGGCTCTATTTTGTAGTCCAGCAAAAATGCAAAATGAGACAACACACGAATTACGTATTTAAAATCGAATTTTTGCATTCGAATTTGGATAGTGAAAGTTGGTTTCCCAATTGATTGGGAAAGGTTGGTAGTATCTGGGTAGCATTTCGGTATTCCGTATCAGTATTAAAAACTGAGACTATCTATAATTATGCGTCCATTGCTCTTTTAAAAATCAGAATTTCAGAGACTAATATAGGCGAAAATCAGGTAAAAGCTTTGGAAACCAGCAATAAATAATATAATAAATAAAATAATAAAATAAATAAATTATATTCATGTATATTTATGTACTGCTATAATCTGCCCCTCTGCTAAAAATCATCTAGATCGTTTAATTATTACAGGCAGAATAACAAAGTATATTTTTTTGTTCCCTTCTCTTTGTGGCTACTTATTGCAGTTCTACATTGAAAAGAAATCACGAGTACAGTCGCAATACTCGGCCATGTAGAGTGCATATGCTTACATATATAGAATATAGACAAGATCGAAGCTTTCGAGTCAAGTTCCCACTTGAGAGATAACAGAACAAACCAACCACATGAACTTGTGAAATGCGTCGAAAGCTTTCCAAAGCTCGTCAACTTGTTTGTTTACCGCTCGGCTGCTTTCATTTTACTGCGAGATATTGAGACGATGATACGACAGGCAGTGCATCAGGGCATCAGGCGGAGGTTCAGCCTAGCTGGAGTGAAGGTCGCCCCCAGCAAGACTATAGATGCGGCAGCAGCCAGCTCCTCGTACATGGAGCAACTGGAGGGGGAGTGGAATACGGCGAAACCCTTCGAAGAGATACCCGGTCCGACACGTTGGCAGCTGTGGCGTGGCTTCCAGAAGGGCGGTGAGTTCCATCACCTGGATATGGCCGAGCTGATGGAGCTTTATCAGACGCGATTCGGGGACATGTGTCGCGTGCCGGGCCTGTTCGGCATGCCCACCACTGTGTTCACCTTTAAGGTGGAGAACTTCGAGAGAATCTACCGCACCGAGGGCCAGTGGCCGGTGAGAGGTGGTGCCGATCCGGTGCTGCACTATCGTGCAAATCGCAAGGACGGATTCTTCAAGGACTGCGTTGGACTGTTCAGCAAGTGAGTAGGCCATCATCTGGCCCAGAGCTACCAGTTGCTGATCTCCATTTGCAGTGGTCCGGAGTGGGGCCGTCTCCGCAGCGCGGCGAACCCTGTGCTGATGCAGCATCGGAATGTTGATCTGTACCTGGAGCCCATGCAACGGGTCAACACCCAGTTCATAGATCGCATCAGGGCCATCCGGGACAAGGAGTCACAGGAGATGCCTGGAGACTTTCTCGATACCATAAATACGTTGACCTTTGAGTCGGTGGCTGTGATTGCCTTGGACCGGGAGCTGGGACTCCTGCGGGCCGCATCCATCGAACAAAGGCCAGAGGCCAAAGAGCTCTTCAGGAACATTAAGATCTTCTTGCAGTCGTTTTTCGAGCTGGGCATGAAGCCGTCGGTGTACAAGTACATCAGCACGCCCACGTACAGGAGGTTCAGTCAGGCGTCGGATGTGATCTTTGACACCTGCTCGATGTACGTGAATGAGGCTGTGGCCCGGATAGACGGCCAGTCGGCCGCGGAGCGTTTGGGCCGGAGGAGTATCTTGGAGCAGCTGCTGCAAATCAATCGAAAGTTCGCCGTTGTCATGGCCATGGACATGCTCATGGGAGCAGTGGACACCACCAGCTCGGCCCTAACTGGTATCCTTCTCAGCCTGGCGAAGAATCCCCAGCAGCAGCAGAAGCTGCGCGAGGAGATAGTGTCCATGCTGTCCCAACCAGACCGCCAGTTCACTCAGAGCGAGATGAAATCGCTGCCATACCTGCGTGCCTGCATCAAGGAATCGATGCGGATGTTTCCCGTCACCTTCGGCAATCTGCGATCGGCGGGCACAGATGTCGTGCTGGATGGCTATCGCATACCCCAGGGCACGAATCTCCTGATGCTCTCCACGAATATGATGCGCGACGAACGCTTCTATCCCCGACCCAACGAATTTCTGCCAGAGCGCTGGATACGGCCCCAGGGCGACGACAGCACCGAGTCGCTTCTCCGGAATAATTTGAATCCATTTGCCTACCTGCCGTTTGGCTTTGGTCCCCGCATGTGTGTGGGCAAGCGGATAGTGGACCTCGAAATGGAGCTGACCGTGGCCAATCTGGTTCGAAACTTTCACATAGAGTTCAACTACCCCACAGAGAAAGCCTTCAATCGATCGTTCCTAAACATGCCAATTATTCCACTGAGATTTAAATTTACCGATGTGAAATATTCCTAAATAAATGGTTTCAATAAATAGCATATTTTCAAAAATAACTGTAACTATATTTGAATTTGCGCTTAACAGCACTGCTTTTACAATCAGCTGTTTCACGGGAATTGCCCATCAGTGCTTCCAGAATTTCAGAGTGAATAAACATTTTCAAAATAAAATATATATCCCTATAATGGTGTGTAAATACAACACTTTCTGCCCAGTCATCACGAAAATGTTGTTTTGAGCTTACACACCACACCAAACTAGTTCTAAAACAAGCCGAATTTATTTGCTACATATTCTAAGCTATGCTAGTTCTAGCCTGAAATAGCCAAAAAGTGGCAGCACTGTTGCCCATCACTGTCTGAAAATCTGACAAACAAAGTGATTCATCGCGATAAAACAAAACGTAAATTCACAAAATTACAGTTGATTTCAACTGCACAAACCTTTTTTTAACCCATTCGCAAAAAGTAAATCCATCAAGCTGGGTAACGACATGTCCACCTCATCAATGGAGAGTAAGTAGTTCAGTGCGATGACGCCATACACCCACCAGACAGCCACACCAAGAATCTTTCTCACCCACACCACCCTCTCCGCGTCCAAACAGAACACCTCTTTAATCTCAAATTTGCGGTGAAGGAGCTGGAGCGAAACTCCAAGAAATGCGAGAAGGAGGAGAAGACGGAGAAGGCCAAAGCCAAGAAGGCCATCCAAAAGGGCAATATGGACGTGGCCCGCATTCATGCCGAGAACGCCATTCGCCAAAAGAACCAGGCCGTCAACTACCTGCGCATGAGTGCTCGCGTGGATGCAGTAGCCAGTCGGGTGCAGTCGGCGCTGACCACCCGCAAAGTCACTGGCTCGATGGCAGGCGTGGTCAAAGCCATGGATGCGGCCATGAAGGGGATGAATTTGGAGAAAATCTCATCTCTGATGGAAAAGTTTGAATCCCAATTCGAGGATTTGGACGTCCAGAGCTCTGTGATGGAGGGCACCATGTCTGATACTGTGACCACCTCGGTGCCCCAGGGCGATGTCGACAATCTGTTGCAGCAAGTTGCCGACGAGGCTGGTCTCGAGCTCAACATGGAGCTGCCCAGCGGTGTACAGAGCCAGACAATTGGTGCCTCCACCACCCAGGTCTCGCAGGAGCAGGACGAACTGACGCAGCGTCTGGCACGCTTAAGGCAGGCTGAATAAAACGAGGGAGACTCACTAAAAGGAACGGAACTCCCTGCCAGCATTCGATGCCGTTGAATTTCTCTGTTGTAGCATTTAAGTACAGAAGAATATGAATAAGAATTATGTATTAGCCTTGACTCTTAAATATGTGTGCATGAAATTGCAATAATCAATTAATGTCAGCATATTCCAGGATGTGGCTGCTGCTGCGTTGTGGAGTTGAGATTGGGCTGAGGCTGGGGCTGTTTAGCACGCTGCTTCCGGGGCTTGCGTGTGGCATTTGTGGGTGCTGTGCCTCCATCTGGGGCTTGTTTGTTCTTCGGTTTCGGTCCTCGTCGCTTTTGCTCTGTCTTTCCCTTGGGATGCGGCGCCACCATGGGCACTGAGCGCCAATTGTCGCCATGTTTGTCCAGCCGACGTTTTAACATATCCACATCGAAATTTCGCCGTCGCAATGTCTTCTTTATAGCATTTACTCTGAAAATTAATAAATAAAGTTAATAAACTACGAAACTACCTGGACAGAATTTGGCAATTACCTCATAACACAGCGCTCGTTGTCGGCCTGTATCCTTTGGCATTTGTCAAAGAGCCTTTCGACTAACTGCTGGTATATGTGCGACTTTTTGTTAAGCAGCATTTTTATAATTTTGTTTGGAGTCCCGGAAAGATTGTTGTTTAGGGGACGGACTGACTAGAAGTTGTTTGGACAGCGTAAATAATATTTATTGCTCGACTTTGATATTCGCTCTAATATTGCTAGCCAGCTAGAACACCCAGCACTAAAGCTATAATTTTGTACGATAAATTAATCAATTTGCCACTAGATTGACTTGTTTTTAGGTACTCACTTTTATTGAATTCTTTGTAAAATATGTTTTAACAAAAAAGGTCAAGAATGTGCACCAAATTTGATTATTTTGCTACATGTCAAATACACAGGGATGCAATTTTTACAGAGCCATTGCCGATATCCGATACATATCTAAGCATGCCATTAAGGGATGCCAGACTAGCCGAATTTCTTTACGCGAAAGCCGCTAAATTAATAATTTATTGTAGGGCAGCTCATGAATCATTATTCATTTCATTTTTACATAAATTTAGCATTTGAACATATTGATAAATATCAAAAACAATAATTAGATTCATCAGGTTCAGAACTAAGACTAAAAACGACCGCAAACGAAAGCGCGACTGTCTGGCAACGCAGTGGCATTGTAGATACGAAAAAGAAAACAAATCGAAAATTTTAAACTACATTTTTGTGCTGCCAAAGGAATCTTCCATTAAATAATAAAGTTGAAGCATGTCTGCGAATCCAAATGCATTGAACATGCCAGCGTCAACAGCACCGGCGCAGGCAGCCGCTGGCCAAAGCCCAACTACACGCAAAGCGATTGCAAGCAACTTTCGCGAACTGACCAAAGATCCCAAGAAACTGGACGAAGCCGCCAATCAGCTGTACGAGGCGCTGCTGGAAGACGCTGTCACCGGCATTTTCATTGAGGTTCATCATTTGCGCAAAACCGGCAATCTGTCGGCCCTGGACGGAGTGCCCGAGGAGGCGACGCACCGCATTTGCGAAGTTCCAAATTTGGATATATTTGGCGTTTCCACGGCCAAGAAGGCAATCGATTGCACCTGCCCCAACTGCGACCGGTTGGTGGCGGCGGCACGTTTTGCCCCACACCTTGAGAAATGCATGGGCATGGGCCGCATATCATCCCGCATTGCATCCCGTCGCCTGGCGACCAAGGAGGGCACCAGTGCCAGCTCGAATTCATCGTATGTGCATTCCGGAGCCAATGCAGGCGGCACCGACGACGAAGATGATGTCGACTGGTCATCTGATAAACGCAAAAAGAAATCCACACAAAACTCGCGCAACAACGGCTCCAAAAAGAACAATGGCAAAACATTTTAAACAGCTCTAGGTAAAGTGAGCAAATAATGGAGGAATTTATTAAACAATTTCCATGCATTGTACATTGTGCGTGCAAACAAAGTAACTAGTTTCCATTTTTGTCTATGGCGTAGACGCGAACATGATCGATCACCAGCGTGGGCCGCTCGGGAGCCTTTTTTTTAAGCAACTCTTTGAAGCGAAGGGCAACCTTTGGAGAGGTATTTTCATATATCCTTTTTTTTTGCTGCTCCATCAGCACATTATCGTCGAAGTTCATGCCACCACCAGCAGTAAGTCCCAGCATAATATAACACTTTTCGTTGAACTTCGAGAGAACTGCTGCATTGGTGATAGTCCCAAAGGATTTGCCATCTACCTTGAAAACGATTCGATCGCTCGACCAAATTATTGTATAGTTGTGAAAATCATTATAGAAAGGATTTTTTAGATTTGTGGTCATAGTCCAATAATCCCTGTGACCCTTATTTTTTTGATTGTTCCAAATCAAGGCACTTCCGAACAGCGATCTTCCGTCGAATGTATTTTGTTGCCTATCTTGCAGCAAAGCGTTACCCCTGGCGTAGATGCGAATTTGATCTATAAAGTTTTCCGCAAAGTATTTACTTTTCGGCTGCAAAGCGATATCTGCAACGATAAATGTAGATTCTTAAGTGCTCTGTGTAATATACCCAGTCTCTGATCCACTTACATGGGAATAACCAATCGCCTTTGGGCAGCCAAGCCCCGATCTCAACTCTTCCGTATTTGAAGGACATCTTCGAATGAATCTTAGCAGACGTGGTAGGAGGAATGTTTGCAGTTTGTGTGGCTCGGATTGGGCCACACTCATACTTATATTTAGAAGAACTGTGAGTACATCCATCGAGTTGGAAGGATGCGCCATTTCTGTATACGGCCCTCGATAACTTAATGTGCAACTTATTGTCGGATATATACGAATTTTTTGGATCGTCCACAAAGGCCACAAATTCCTGATACACGCCATTAAAACAACGAGATCTCACCTCATGTTTCCAAGTATCTTTGATCTTTTGACCATTATTAAAGTTGTCCTCGAAGATTAGGTCACCGGTAGAAAACTTTCGCCCTTTCACATCCGTAGTTTCTGTCACAGTCGGTTCCAAGGGTTTTTCCACTGGCTTACATTTCAAGACCAGAGCCCCGACATCCAGGTCTTTGCTGTTCCCTGTGGGATATTTATTATCCAAGTGGCCCATTCCATCCTTATCGATAGTGTATACAGAGGTCTTGCTGCTGATAACGTTGTTTGTTCTTTCCACCAGAGTTTGCACTCGAAGCTTGGCATTCTCGGCAATACGCTTGGGGAGCATCATCTTTGTTTCCCCGGAGCTCTGCGACGTGTACGAATAGTTGTTCACACATTCATCAGTCAGCAGCTCAGCTCGGAAGAGTGTAGACTTGACGCCATCCAGATTCCCTGGTAGCGATAAGAACACCTCCGAATTATGTACTTTCACCACTGCGTCCGGCAGTTCGAAGGCACTTAATGAAACCAGCAGGCTGGTCAGCCACAAGATCACACACCACCTACTCTTCATTATGGACAAAGAGAAACTGAGAAACTTTGGACGCGGATTGTGAGATTGAACACTAATCCAATTGTTGGGCGATGCGATAACCTTTTGGTTTCAATATGCAAATACCTCTGATAGCTAGCAAATACATACATATATCTGCAAGTAAATATGTACAAACAATGATTTAAAAAAAGATTTTGCTTCATGCGAAGAACATCGCCTCAGGAGTGTTCCCTTACAAAGAAAATGCACATAACATAAAACTGCAGCCCCTCCCTGAGAGTTGTTCTAGCAGAGAGAATATTTGTATAAGCTCTCATGGCCAAATGAACCTTGGATCCGCCAAAAGAGATAGCCCAGAAGTCTATGACGAAAGCATTTAAATAATTTTATTGTTCATTATCGGTAATGGAATAAACTCTGACGGATCTAATGACTAGTTTGGGATGTTTCCAATGGATTAGTTTTGGAATTCCACCGAGCTTTTTGTTCAGGAAGGGTTTTTGGTCGGACAATACACGTGAGTCGGGGAAATTATCCTCTCCGCCGACAGTTACCGCCAGCTCGATGTGGCACTGCAAAGAAAGATAGATATATACTAGTTTCACTATGCATTTCAGACACCGCCTCACCATACTCTCACTTAAGTCCTCCAGGATGTCCTTGTCGGTTATTTCGGCGTATGTACGTCCATCGACCTTGAAAATAATGATATTCTCCTTCCAAATTGCCGTATAAGTGTGAAAGTCTTCGCCAAAGTGCTTGCCAACAGAGATGTGCTGCTCTGCCTCGTGTTTGCTGGCACCTGCAAAGAGCATCGTGCCACCAATCTCGTTTCCGGAACTGTCCATCAGTTGCTCGTTGCCTCGGACAATGGCAATGCGAATGGAATGCCCCGATTTGGATTTCAGCGAGAGTACTGCATGAGAATTGTAAATAGATATCTATGTATTAGTCTGGCTATTCGCATGGCTGCTGTAATTACCTGGGAATAGCCAGTCACCAATTGGCAGTTTGGCTACTATGTCGATTCGACAATACTTAAAAGTGGAATCGGATTTAATGCTGGCTGAATTATATGGGGGAAAAAATTGTTTAAAATTTTGGTTAAATTCGCTGTGGCCGCAGTAGAGTTTATTTCTCATAACGTTGTCTTTGGTGCAATTTGGGAGATAAAATGGCCTTTCCGTGCTATAATTGGACCGGGTGACATGCAGATGTAAGGCATTATCTTTCACATATGAATTGTGGCGATCCTGCACAAAGGCCACGCCCTCGTAGTCGGGAATAAGAAGCTGTGATTGCTGCAGATGCTTCCATTTGTTTTTCCAACTCTCATTCTCAAATTCTTCACGGAAGATCATTCGTCCACCGCATGCACAGGGCTGGTCATTGATCTGAGAAGATGTTGGAACGCAATACGTCTGGGTACGGTTTAGTGTCTCGCAATCCCAGGGTAGCCTTTGGCCTATGCTGTACTTCCTGACCGGCACTACTCGACCAGAGTCTCTTGTGCCTCCATCACTGGCTAAAATTTTAAACGTTCCGCTAATTGTCTCGTTTTCATTAGTTTCAACAATGACCGCGACTCGAAGGGTGTCATTTAGGTGCTCTTTAATGGCCCACGGATGTCCTGAATTTGGGTCAACTCTGTAGTTAAAGGCCGGACACTTGTTTTCACTGAATTCGGTGTAGAAAAACACGGAAGAAATCCTCTGGTCCTCTATGAAATGATATTTTCATTACGTATCGACAAAAATATATACATATATGAAAAAACTAATCACCTGGCAGCGATAGCCATACCCATTCATCGTTTATCGTTTCATTTAGTAGCGGCTGAATCTGAAAAGCCCCCAAACCGAGCACAAGCCCAGCCAACGAGAGTAACAACAGTCCCGCGATCATAGTCTTCGACGCGAGCCAAAACTGAACTGGGATTAACATATTTCTTAAGACAGACTGTCCGAGCTTTATTACCGATAAGAATCCGACAATCTGACACATGTATATGGAATATATGAATATGATTATCAGTTGGCGTAGACACGTACATAGTCGACCAGTAGGTACGGCTGTTTCCAGGAGGGCAGCCAATGCTCTTTAGCCTCAAAGAAATTAAGCTTAGCCTGCGGATGATAATTCATCCATGGCTTCTCGTAGGTGGCAGTGCGCAAATTATCCACAAAGTCCCCAAAGCCACCCACAGAAAGTCCCAGCGTGATATAGAACTATAATAGTATATGAATGAATATATATATGTATATTCAATATTAAAATACGTTACCATTCGATCGAATGGGGCCATGGGGCCGCCTCTCTTCCATCTTGAGTTCAAGTCCAGCTCCGCAAAGCCACTCAACATCTCGCCATACACCTGTCCATCCACTGAGAAGCGCAGACGCTCGCTGCTCCAGTCCAGGCTGTACGTATGGAACTCGTCGCCAAAGTGCACATTTCTGCGCTGAGTGGCCCAGATATCCTCGCGCTGCAGGGCGACCGTGGAAAGGACAGGCCCGGCATACAGTGAACGACCATCGACGAGTTTGCCGTGCGGCATCCGTAGCTTGGAGTTTCCCCTGGCCATGGCCACTCGCAGCTGTCCCGACTCGTAGCCCGTCTGGCCGTACCATTCAGTCAGGGGTTCCAACAGCAGCAGGGGTACCAGCCAGTCCCCCTTTGGCATCTGGGCCCGAATGTCTATGCGTCCATATTTAATGGCAAACGATTCCTTGGTGCTGACACGAGGCGCCACAATGGGAGGCATGATGGCACTGGGACCGCTGCCACTGGACTGCAGCATGCACTCCTTCTGGCGGTTGTGCGTGCCCGTGCAGCGCTCGGAGAGATCTAGCCGAGAGTTCGATATGGACAAGTCTGGGCGATAGCTTGACCACTGAATGGGTTGGATCACTAGATTGCCCTCCTGGACTCTGGCCTTTCCGTCGTACAGCACAAACTCGGCGTCTTTGGTGTCCAGGGGTAAGCGGACCTCGTGCATCCAACGGGTCTCGTTCAGTTGATCGAAGGACTCGTCGAACAGCAGCTGCCCCTTGCAAATGGCTGACAATGGAGCCGGTGATATTGTCGTTGCCGATGGTTCACATACTCCGGTCACTGCTCTCTCAGATGACGATGATGATGATGATGTTGATGACGGGGCATTGGTGTCCTCTGTGTTCAACTTGTTGTTCTCTGTTGGCTCTTCCTGCGCGGGAGACGAACAACCCTTGGGCAGATTAGCTGCGGCCAATGTGCAAACATTAATGGGCTGCCCGAGATCTTGGAAAATGGCCCTCTCATGCTGCACACTCGTCCACATATACAACACATCATGGGCCCTCAATGGGACCGAAAGAAAATCGTGTGACCAGCGATTATGCTGCGGTTCAACCAGCCGGGTGCTGTACTGACCCTCCGTAAACGAAGTGAAATTCCGATTGCGATTCACATTGAAAGCCACCAGCCTCACGCCCGTCTCATCTGTCAAGAGAGAGAGAGAGCGAACAAGAAATGAGCACTATGCCCAGAAGAAACTGATATATGATGGTTTATTTACCTGGAATTGACACGCGAAAACCATTCTCCAACAGCTCCACCTTGGCCGTGGGCACCTTATAGCCTTCGCTGTGCCCAATCTTAGTCCAGAGCATCAGAAATATGCCAATTGTTGTTAGTCTAGGCATTCTGCTCATACACTTTGTGTCTTGTGCCTTGTGCCCGCGTTGATCTGACTCAGCTGAGTCAAGCAAGCAACTCAGGTGGTGGCGGCTACCTCTCTTCCAGACCGGTTCTCGTGTATTGCGATTATTTGCCAAGACTTAGGCTGGGTGTATTCAAATTTACACATCAGTTCCTGCTCTGAAGAGGCTCCTCTCTGTGCATGAAACATTTTCCACAGATCTAGTATTAGTATTAGACGCCGAAATATTAACTAATTAACGTTCTAACGGCACTCTGATTAGTGCACGACTAAAAGCTTTGCGCTGCGATAACGAAAGCTTCGTTCGATCCGAATCTGTGATTGAGAAGAGAGCTTGTAATCGGAGTTAAGCTTTTGAATCCAGATTCAGATTCAATCAGTTGCAAGTCGAGACTGCCGAGAACTATACGCTGTGCGCGAAGCGGATTGATTCTACTTGAATAAATTGAACGCAATTAAAAGTGCGTCATGCGCTGGAAAACACTGCTCTGCTGCAGTCTGTGGCTTCTGCTGCAGAAATGCAATGAAAATATGGCTTATAAAATTCCCAGCATTGACTTTGAGATGCTGAATGAACGTGGCTTTGAAGTGTCCCTGCCAGGTAACGTCCAGGGGGTGGGTAGAGTTGGCAGAGTTCATGGAAATCTGTTTTTCAGATGAGCCTGGCATGCAACGGGTCTTCTATATGCTCCAAATAGATGACAACTGTCCGGCTCTGATGGACTACATAACAGAGTCGAAGAACGGAAGCTGGAACAGCAGGCAAAAGACGAGTCTGCAGAACAACGATAAGCTGCAAATCTCAGTACTGGTGCAGTACAACGACGAGATCTACGAGAAGAGCGAGACTCGGGTGATTATAAACACTCGTTTGCTCACCACCCGCGACAGCAGCTCTCGGAGCATCACCTATCCCAGCGGGGAGGGTGAATGCCAGGCCTATTTGGCGCCCGAGAAGCAGGCCAAGCGCTGTAAGCCCGCTCAGAGCATCGTCAGCAGCAGCCGCCGTCAGACGTGCCAGGGTGAGCTGCTCTTCGAGGACAACTTTAGTGAGGCGCAGCTGAATCGCAGCACGTGGAAGCATGACATACGCCAGCGCATGTACCATGTGGAGGAGGAGCTGGTCGCCTTCGATGATGCACCGCGCAACTCGTACGTGAAGGAGGGCCAACTGCATATTGTGCCCATTGTGGCGAGCGAGGTGGTCGAGGGCAGCTTCAAGCTGGGAGATCGCTGCACAGCCGTCGAGAGTCCCGAGCAGGAGTGCAACATTGCTCAGGGTAGCTTTTATACCATCAAGCCTCCGGTTTTCTCGGCCCAAATCCACACACGAGACTCGTTCAGCTTTAAATACGGCAAGATTGTGGTACGGGCAAAGCTCCCCAAAGGCGATTGGCTTTTTCCATGTAAGTGCCACCTTACACTTTACACTTAGCTTCCTCATTTAATATGTGTGTGTGTACAACCTTAGACGTGATGCTGCAGCCCGTGTCCACATATGCCGAAACCCATTATGCCAAGCAACTGCGTAAGTTTGAACGATGCTAAAGGTGATGACGCTCTTGCACCGACTAAGTCGCCGGCTGTTCTTAGGTGTTGCCTACGCCAGGGGAAACGCTCACCTGCAAAGCAATCAACAGGAGGACATCTCCGGGAGTCATCTGTATGGCGGAATGATTGTCTGGCATCATGGACGTGCTGTCCAGTTCCTCAAGGATCGTCTGAGCAAGGCTCATTACGGGGATGGTTTTCACAACTACACAATGATATGGCAGCGGGATAAGATCACGTTAATGGTGGACGAAGAGATCTATGGCGAGCTCTACGATGGCTTGCCCTTTTTCAATGAGAAGTGTTTCATCATTTTTGGCGTTACTGTCGGCGGCTTTCTCAATTTTGACGACAACATGCTGGCCAAAGACGTCAAACCATATCGGAACCGGGAGCCGCGAGCGGCTCTCTCCTTTTGGCAGCAGCGCGACACTTGGGCTCCCACATGGGGCAAGCACAGTGCCATGATTGTAGATTATGTGCGTGTCTATGCAGAGTAAAACAGAGTCAAATTTATGAATTGTATACAATTTTTTTTTCTTTATTTTGGCTGAGTGGGCTAACTAGTTAGTTAGTAATATTAAATCGAATATCAAAATCGGGGAATATGATTTATTCTGTCGAAATGTACATAGATATGTAGGTAATATTTAGCAAATGTGTAGTTGGCGTGTAGTTACCATGTGAAAGATCCACGTTGCCATCAAAATACCATTTTCAAATGACCGCCAAAGTCCATTTATCGCACAAAAATATCGATATCTCAAATCGTGGTGGCTTTTCAAAATTTGCTCTCTTCTTCGAGGTGTGAGCCACATGTATCTTACGGGAACCTATGGAATGTAGGTTCCCGTAAGATACATTTGATTTTTATGGGAAAAAATTCAGCAACATGTGGAAATGAAGAGGCAGCATTGTTGTGCAACTTTGGCACGGAATGAGCAACAATCTGCATACCTTGGGAAAATGGATATTATGGACTTGAGATATGGTTTGTAAATTCAGGATCCAATTAATGCAGAAACTACTCAGTCTCTGTTTTAAAGATATTAACGAAATTTTGCAGCTCACGGGTTCCAATAATAGGTATCAGAACCGGGATAAATGTATATATAAAACACAAACATGTGCATTTATTGGTAAAAAACATGTCAATCTAGGATAAAATCATAAATAATGTTTCAATGGAGCTTGGAACAAAACATTTAACATCAATTAAAAGAAATAAGGTATACACAAGTTCATACACATAGAAGAAACTTGGTTGACCAGCAACAATGAGGTCCCATTTAGTCAACATTTACGTTTTATGCTTTGGCCATTTTTGTTTGAACCCTATTATCTAAACAATCCCATTAAAAATAGTTCTGAAAACTAGCCAATCCTAGACAAAATTCATTGAGGAATCGGATAAAATTATTTGTTAAGGCTGAGAGTCCCAGCTAGCTAGTAATATTAAACTGAATATCAAAATTTACGAATTTCATGTCACAAAATATCATGGTATGGCAGCCCGTAGCAACTACGAATTGCACGAGTCTGGCAACGCCACAAAACGACGACAAAATCGTTTTATGCTGTTTTTGTTTGAACCTTAATATGTAAATAATCTAATAAAAAGGACTTCTGAAAACTTGCCAATCCTGAACCAAATTTATGTATCTATCGGATAAAATTATTTGTTTAGGGCTGAGAGAGCCAACTATCTAGAAATAGTAAACTGAATATTAGGAATATCAACGCATCTTGTCGTGTCCTTCAGAATACTTACGGTATATTATTTAATCAAGTTCCAATTTATTTGTTTATATATTAAGATACGCTTCAAAATGACCGCCAGACTCCACTTATCGCATAAAAATATCGATATTATTCACTCTCAATTCGTGGAGAGTTTTCAAAATTTGCTCTCAATTCGTGGAGAGTTTGCAAAATTTGCTCTCTTTTCAGTGGAGAATAGAGTGTTTTTGTGGAGACTTTCCCCTCATTTTCGTGGTGTGGCAGCATGTTGCTGAAATTTTTCCCATACAAAATCAAATGTATCTTACGGGAACGCGTATGGAATGAAGATTCATTGTTGCGTCATTCCATACGCGTTCCCCATAAGATGCATTTGATTTGTATGGGAAAAATTTCAGCAACATGGGGAAATGAATTGGCAGCATTGTTGTGCAACTTTGGCACGGGATGAGCAGCAATCTACATACCTTGGGAAAATGGATATTATGGACTTGAGATATGGTTTGTAAATTCAGGATCCAATTAATGCGTAAACTAATCAGTGTCTGTTTTAAAGATATTAACGAAATTTTGCAGCTCACGGGTTCCAATAATAGGTATCAGAACCGGGATAAATGTATATATAAAACACAAACATATGCATTTATAGGAAAAAAAATCATGTCAATCTAGGATAAAATCATAAATAATGTTTCAATGGAGTTTGGAACAAAACTTTTAACATCAATTAAAAGAAATAAGGTATACAAAAGTTCATACGCATAAAAGAAACTTGGTTGACCAGCAACAATGAGGTCACATTTAGTCAACATTTACGTTTTATGCTTTGGCCGTTTTTCTTTGAACCTTATTACGTAAACAATCCAATGAAAAAGAGTTCTGGAAACTAGTCAATCCTGAACAAAATTTATTGCTGAATTGCATAAAATTATTTGCTTATGGCTGAGAGGGCCAACTAGCTAGTAATATTAAACTGAATATCAAAATCGAGGAATATCATGTCACAAAATATCATGGTATGGCAGCCCGTAGCAACTACGAATTGCACGAGTCTGGCAGCGCCTCAAAAACGACGTCACATTTGTTTTATGTTGTTTTTGTTTGAACGTTAATATGTAAATAATGCAATAAAAAGGACTTCTGAAAACTTGACAATCTTGTATAAAATTTATGTATCTATCGGATAAAATAATTTTTGTATGGCTGAGAGGGCCAACTAGCTAGTAATATTAAACTGAATATCAAAATCGCGGAATATGATTTATTTCTTTATATGTAGTTAATATGTAGCAAATGTGTAGTTAGCATGTTGTTACCATGTAAAACATAAACTCTGCCATCAAAATACCATTAATTAAACCTATTTTATGGTTAATCAAATAGAAATAAGCGAATCTTTTTGGATATGAATCAATTTATCGTAATACATTATATGATCAGGGCAGAGGGCTCCAGCAATTACTAAAATACTAATCCGAAAATCAAAATCAGGGTAATGGATCCATTTCTTCGGTATATTTGCGGTATATTTTGATAAAAGAAGGTATATTTGGGTATGTTTTTGAGGGTCAGACGGTATATTGCGTGGTCACACTGGTGTTTCCTCTCTTTCTTTTTCCGGTCGCAAAATGGTAAGCAACGAAAATAACTTAAAAGTGAAAAGTGAAAAATAAATTTGTAAACATCTCGGGAGTGGTTGCAAGTTGATTGCTTGTGAAGTGGGATATGTGATGAACGGAGAAATGCACAGCAGTTGTTAATAATATTTCGTTTGCAGGGTATTGATATCAACCACAAATACGATCGCAAGGTTCGCAGAACCGAGCCGAAATCTCAGGATGTTTACCTGCGCTTGCTCGTCAAGGTAAGATGAATTGATGGATGAAATTGAATGAGGAAGGGGTTGCTAATTTATATTTCTATCATTCCCCAGCTGTACCGCTTCCTCCAGCGTCGTACGAACAAGAAGTTCAACCGCATCATCCTGAAGCGTTTGTTTATGAGCAAGATCAATAGGCCACCACTATCTCTGCAGCGCGTCGCTCGCTTCTTCAAGGCTGCCAACCAGCCCGAGTCCACTATCGTTGTGGTGGGCACAGTTACCGACGATGCCCGTCTGTTGGTGGTGCCCAAGGTGACCGTGTGCGCCCTGCACGTTACCCAGACGGCTAGGGAGCGCATCCTGAAGGCTGGCGGCGAGGTGCTGACCTTCGACCAGTTGGCGTTGAAGTCGCCCACCGGCAAGAACACCTTGCTGCTGCAGGGCAAGCGCACTGCTCGCACCGCCTGCAAGCACTTCGGCAAGGCTCCCGGTGTGCCCCACTCGCACACGAGGCCCTATGTCCGCTCCAAGGGACGCAAGTTCGAGCGTGCTCGTGGTCGTCGTTCCAGCTGCGGTTACAAGAAGTAAGCAGCTTACATCCTGGACTTGGACCGTCGACGGCCGTCGTCACTTTTTGGTTAAGATATTGATTTGTCAGTTTGGAGGAAACTAGCCGTCGCACTCGTTGCGGCAATAAAGAATTTTTATTCCAAAAAGTGAAACGAATATCAAGCTATGTACAAGTAATAGTCCTGCTGCTAGTGCAAGTGAGTGCTCCAATAGTTGATCAGCGGCTGGTCCTGCGGCTGGACTCCCAACACCTTCTTCAGTTTGGCCTGCACACTGGTGGACTTGGCGTGATTCAGGCATGTGACTTTGCTGCAACAGGAGGGAATAGGAGGCATGGCATGTAAGCATTGGCGTTTGGTTGCTAAAGTATCCACACACTCACTTTTTCCACTCTTCGATGAGCACCTTTGTCTGTTTGTTGAGCACCAGCTCTGTGAAGTTCTTCTCCTCCACCGCCTTCAGCAGCTTTACCATGAGATCTGGCACTGCAATGAAAATGATAAAACTAACCAAAAAAAAAAGGGAAATATGCAATAGTGCTTACGTTTTCGGGGCAACTCTCCCGGCCACTTGACGGACACTTCGTGTCCGTTGACATGTTTGTCCAGAAAATCAATGCGAAACACGGAGGCGCTGGCTATGGGCACGGCAATGTCATTGGACACCGATATAATCTTGTACTCGGAGCTGATGGAGTGCTGGTGCTGGGCATCGATGCGCATGAGATTGTGCATGGGCTCGGGCAGAAGCTTCTTCAAACACACCATGAAGCGAAAGGTGCGCTCGGGTGCGCCGCGGACAATGATTTTCACGCCCGTCAGAGCGCAGTAGCAAACTGTTGCGAATTCCTCCTTGCGGACCACCTTCTTGATGTGGCGCAGAGAGAAAAACTCCTCCTGGTCGGGATCGTCAATGCTTTCCTCGTATTTCTGTATCATGGGCAGGGTGGAGCTGTTGTAGGTGAGCCGCTGGGCGGGCGGCCGGCCGCTGCTTTGATGCGGCAGCCAAGGCAGATTTCCGAAGGTGACGTGCTCGGTGAGGAAACGGGAGCCGGCAAGCAGGAGCCACGAAAAGTGCGAGTGCAGCTGGGCAAATATGTTCTCCTCGCCCGTGAGCTCCAGCAGGGAGCGCGACGAATGCATCAGAAACGGTACTCCGGAAAGACGCCTCTGCCGTTCGCTCTGACGCCGTTCCTCGGCCTCCTTGGTTTTGTTTGCACCCGCCTGCAGTTCGGACGAGATCTTTTTCAGGTGCTCGGCCAGAAACGGCTTCGTGTTCAGCAGGAAGTACTTGTCCTTCATCAGGACTATGATCGAGTAGAGCTGGAAGTAGCCCCGCGCCTGCAGATCGCTCACACGGAACTTGTGGCTGAGGATGTGGCCTCGCGTCGAGTCACCAAAGAACACAAACTCTCCATCCTTGTTGGAGTCTATGCCATTGCTGAGGCTCAGCACCGCCGCCTGCTTCACCAAGGTGGCCACCTCCGTCAGCACGGCCACCCGCGTGCTCACAAACGTGGCCCCGCTCTCCGTGTCTTTGCTGTATATCCCACTGTTGTTACGTCCCATCGAATAGTTGCAGGCCGAGCATGTCTTCTGCGATTGCTGCTGCTGCTGCTGCTCGAGCGGCAGGTCCTCGATCTTGGTGTCCCGCAGCGTCTGGGTGCAGAAAATGGCGCAGGGGCCGTGTGCCTCGCAGAAGTGGCATAGCGCAATCACGGCGTTCATCGAAGTCCGTAAAAATTATCTTTTTTTTTCGTAATAGATAATATTATTCTGCTATTATTGTTTACACGCAATGTTATCGATTGAGCCTCGGAAATATACCGTAAATATACCGCAAATATACCGTAAATATACCTTAATATGCCGAGGAAAAAATCGAACTTAACCCACTTAACCCAGTTTTATTTAAACAGCTGAGCACCTGTCGAACACTGTTCGAAAGTGGGTTAAGCGTTCTCTGTCCATGATCGGAAATCATATTCCACGATTGTTAAATTCGGTTTGATTTTATTAGCTAGCTAGCCCGCTCAGCACTTAACATACAATTGCATTGCATAGATAAATCAATTTTCTATAAGTTTTCAAGAGGTTCAAAAGTGTTTTCGTAATGTGACGGCAGTGCTGGTGGTCGGCCCAGTTTTAGCTTTGAGAATGGACATTCGTACACCCTTTTTTCTTTAGTTTCCAAAATATTGAAACAGAAAACCTGCGTATAAAAGTGTTGCTACTATGTTCTTTTACCTTTAAAATGTAAATTGAAAAGACTCTGGCGGCTGAGGGTATTTTTGGTGCGATAAGCGGATGCGTTGTGGTAGCCCTGAGAACTTGTGTTGTGAAACGCGCGTGTTTGACCGCAAAATTTTAAATCACAAATAAAAAGAGATGCCTTAACATCAACTGAATAAAAGGTAGGTTTGCATAAATAATTACCAGATAATATTACAGAGTTAATTTCACTTGGATGGTGGTGTTGGGTGTGGTTCAGGCTCATGCTCACCTTCTGGGATGTCTTTATAACCCAATTCGTTGTCCGTGCTAATTGGAAGGGTAAATACTTATTGAAATCGGTAATGCGGCCAGCGCTGGATGGCGTTCCCAAATGGGATTTATTCTTGAAAAGTGTCGTGCCCGATGCACAACGACGGTTCAGGATGCAAATGATTTGGGTGCTTCTTGTTGGCTGCTTTCTATGCCTGGCTAGCGCCGCATTCGACGTTGTGGTGCCTGCGGCCACGCACAATCTTACGGACTACCTGCAGAGCCGACAGAAACGACATCAGCTGATCTACAGGAACGGCGCAACAATACGGCTGGTGGTCGGACCCGTGATGGCCACCCAATTGGAGGACCCGATCACCTGGCGTGGCTTGGTCTACTTCTGGACGCTCCACTTTGGCGGGTATACGTTGCCCTCAGAGCCGCTCTATCCCTGGGATAAGTGGGAGACGATCTATGCGCGATCGCTGCAGGAGCAGGTCCGACGCTTGGATGACTCGCACGAGGACGATACCCGGCTGTTTGTATATGAGATTTTGGAAAAGTACATGGACCAGTTGAGTGGCTCGGTGGGTCTGGGTCGTCAGTGCCTGTTGCGCGGCATCTGCGAGAACGCTCAGATCCATCGCCACGTGGGCATCATGGCTGAGCTCCTGAACATCCTGCTCACGTAAGTGAAGTGTATATAAGTGTATATTTATCCCCAAATCAATTCCATGCCTTTCGGCAACTGTTGCAGACCTGGGAAAGCGCGTCTGGATGTGTCCTATACGCAGGCACATGCTGCGGGGCTAGCGGGCAGCCGCTGCTTGGAGCAGTTCGCAGAGTGTCCGCGCGGAAAGAGTGTCTTGGATGCTTACGCAGTGGATATGGCGGATTGAAGGCGCAACGAGCTTTGCGGGCAGAGCTAATCGTGTGCTTCCTTATTAGAGTTACGGCCCAAAGTATTAAAAAATCTACAACAAAGTGTAAATCATTTCTTTTTACAAAAGAAAGGCTGAAGCTTAAAATGCTTCGTCAGAGCACACACACACACACACCATCGGCAATCTCGATAACATTTCCGCTGCCACCATGCAACGATAAATTTTCTAACGGTAATTGCAAGTGATTTAAGCCACGCCTCCTTCACGCAGACCTCCCCTTTTTTGCGGATGAGCGAGTATGCATGGAGTCGAAACCTGACCTGAGCACCCCTCTCTCCGCCGCCCGTTCAAAAATCGCTTAACATTAATGGCTTGTGGCGGCTGCGGCGGCGGCTGCTGCTGCTCCAACTTTAGCTGCGGGCCTGCAGCATGCAGCCAAAGCCAACTCACGACCGCCATTTTGTCAACAATGGCGTCAATTAAATGGAAAATGCAGCCAAGCCACCATGCAGAAACAGCAACAGCAACGGCAACGGCAACAACGACGGCGACGGGCACGAAAGACAATAAATGCGTCTTAAGTGGCACATTAGGCTTGCAGACGCTGACAGCACAGCAAGAGCAACAGCAGTCTTCTCCATACAGGGTGTTGTGGCAGCTTTCATGTGTGCAGCCAAAGGGTATTCAAAGTCAGGAACTCCAGTGTGACTCGTTCAGGGCAGGCTACCCTGCATGAATATACCTTGCGTGCATCACCCTGTTGGCGCTCGACATCAGCGTTTTGTGTGCACAGCTAATTCAAATGCGATTATGACAACCAACGCGAACAACGAAAGCAGTGGGAGAGTAAGGGCGAGAGAGAGAGTGAGAGAGAGAGAGCTTGGGATGAAGGAACCATGCAAAGTGCAGCTAGCTTTGTGAGAGTAGCAGAGCGTAAGGCGGTGGGGTGGTGGTGCTAGTGGGGGCCGGGCCGGGCCGCCTGTTCAACTTTGCGGTGTTTGAACTTGTGATGGTGCATCGGAATAGGTAGGTAACTATGTGTCTGTGGCTGTCGTGTTCATGCGCTGCTCAATATCACGATGCTGAGAGCGTGAAGTGAGGCAAGCCATGAAGCTTATCCCATCATATCTGTATTTCGGGTGCATGTGGAGCGGTCCGCAGCAATTCCTATTCACTCAGAGATGACGCATAAACTGGCATGGGGTCATGCATGGATACACACACGAACATTCACATCCTTGAGCCATCCTCTGACAACACAGCTTCCTGCCCCGCAGACATGCATCCGTGCACTTCCGCCCCCAAATTATGCAACAAGCACATCCATTCCAATCCACAGACACAGGCACAGGACGAGACCCATTAGACATGCACTTTGATTTAGTCGAAAACTTTATTGTTGTGCCATGCACTACGATCAGCAGAAGCGCCAGCTGTAAATCAATCATGCTCCACAATCAAAAGCTCGTCCAGGAAATTGCCGCCGCGTGGGCAGGCTCTGTAGAGGCCGAGGCAATCGGCGCCTGCCTTGCCAGCTTCATAGGCATCGTGGTAGCATTTATCCAGATCCGCCTTGCCAGGACTAGAGTGGGAAATTGCTGTTTAGTGGCATCAATTCAAGGAATAAAAATTCATCGCTTACCTCAGGACAATGTTCAGGATTTCGGAGAACACCCCAATGTGCTGGTGGATTTGGGCATTTTCGCATATGGAGCGAAGCAGGCATTGCCTGCCCACGGCCATGTCATCATTCCGCCTGCCGATGTACTCCTCCAGAGCGGTGTAGACCAGCAGTCGGGCATCGTCGGCATACCGCGTGTCTCCATTGGCGGCGGCATGCCTCTCGATGTTCCGCCTCATCTGTGTCAGGGATCGGGCGAAAGTGCCCTCCCACTTGTCCCACGGCCAGATGGGGCTGGTGGGCAGCGAATAGGTGCCTCCCTGGAGCGTGAAGGACAGCACACAGGAGCGAAATGTCACATGATCCTCTAAGGGTATTGGCAGGGATGGTCCAATGCTGAACTTCATCGATCCGCTGTTCTGATAGATCAGCCAACGTTTCTGGCGGTGCCCCAGGAACTCGGTGACATTGCGGCTGGTTAGGCCAAGGGCCGGCAGTGCGAACACGAACAGACCCGCAAGCAGCGCACCAAGTCCGCACATCATGCATGGAAGGGCTTGCCAAGACTAACTGCACTCCCAGCAAAGCTGAGCTTCGAGATCTGCTGCCACTCGAAGTGAGCCATCATCGGCGCTGAATGACGAGTGGAATTTTCAGAGACGCAAACATTTGGGCAGTCAATTAGCATTACGAATGTGACTGAAATTTGGTATGGTGACGGGGGTTACGATGGGAATTGGACAAATATGTATGACCGGGCGATTCTTCTTTTCTATTTGCACACGTGAGTCGAAAATTGAGTGAACTACAATGACCGCTTTGGGCCCGGGCCAAATGAAGTGAGCCGAACAGCCAAGATCAAGATTACGGGTCACAGAAATACAGACTGAGAGCCCCACTTATAAGACCATTAGGAAGTGGGAAATACACACACACACACACACACAGCACACACACAAAATCCACAAAATAAGGAAGTAAGCACGTTTTGATCGGCATTGCGACTGTGAGATACCCACTAAGTAAATAGAATATATGGAATGGAATAAGTTCTTGCACTTATAATTATGAATCCATTTCCATTTGGGTCCATTTACAGTCCGATATAGTTAAAGGTACCCTATATTTCTATAAGTCCAGACTATCAGCAGTAGTAAAATTCTTTTTTTGACTGGATAACCTACATACCCACCTCATTACGCAGTATGAAAATGTTTTGCAAATTATTTAGACAAATAAAGGAAGCAAGCCGGACTGAGGCAAACAGTTTTGGTGCAGATAATATCCTTTTTTGGGTTGTTCTGTGATTTGTCGACGTGGCCGGAAATGAAAAGCAAACAGCAAGCAGCAAATAGCAATGGCAGCAGCAACGGCAACGGCAACAGCAACGGGCAACAGCAACAGCGATGCGGCAGCAGGGAAATAAATTTGCTTAAATAACAGCAGCAACAATCGGAAAATGGCAAATGGCAGAGTTGCCAACCGCAAAGCCAAAGACGAGTAGACCCAAGACCGTTGTAACGGGGAACACACATGGTCCGTTACTTGGGAACTCTCTCACACACACACACGAAGACACACGGCCTGACATGCCTGACCAAAAGCACAATGCCCTCCCTCCCACCTGTCCCTGGACATTTCCGCTGTAGGGGGGCAGTCGGACATACCCCAAAAGAAATAAATTTGTGTTGACAATTTGAATGATTTATAGAAAATGCGTGCAGACCAAATTTTCACATGTGCCAGCGGTGGCGGCGTGCGGCGGGCGGCGAGGGAAGAAAGTGGACAGGCGAAAAATAGCCCATGTCTAGGCCACAGGCCACAGTAGTAAGCACTCTTAAATGAATTGATCAACAAACAAGGTGATTTTGGATCAGAAAACGTGGTTGCCCTCATTCACACTTGTCCGGATGCTTATCCACTTATGCATATACATAATACATATGTACCTACATCGTACCATTCTGAACCATTCTGATTGATTAAATAGTGTTTGCCAGTCATGGTTTTGCCATTTTTAGATCGATTACACAACGCCCCATGCCATATACTGGAGGAAGGGGCTTCTAAAAATGCTACATTAGTATATGAATGTTTAAATGCCTTTATTTTTTTTTCCATATAGCTTCCAGCTGCATTCTGTTGAACTGTTTTATAAGTGCATATGCACCTTTCGTTCATTTTTTTTTGTCAAAAGTCCTGTCATACATTGTACTTCCATACCCACATATGCTATACGATTGAATACCACATGTTTTGTGGTTTTTTTTGTTGCCCTGCCACATTCGTGCTTTGCCGCCTTTTGGCCAATTTGGCACAGACAGAACTTTATTTTCCTTGGCCACAATTAGGAAAAGCGGAGAAGGCAGCAAAAACAATCACCGAAGTGGGAAGACCACCCGCAAAAACATTTCTCCAAATGTCACAAGCAAACGGAAAAAACGAAAAGAAATTGGGCCACCCAATGGACTCGTAGATACCTCAACCGACCGCCGCAAAAAAAAACCTGCTCCCCGGAGCGAGGTTCTTCTTCTTCTTCAATTTCTCACGCCAACTGTATATAATATTTATTATGTTGGCATAATAAATTGCAACATGAGGCAGATTCATTTTCGCACTTGCGGACATTTTTCATTTCGCTTGCCGGCCGGGCGGCAGCTGCTCGGACTTGGCGGGGATGACGATGTCAGGGGCGGTATTTGGGGTTTGGCGAGAATGTGAAGGACGCGTTGGCGCCACATTCATGTCGCTTCTGCTGCTGCAGTCCTCGTTGGCTGATGGGCAAAAAGTACTTACTTGTTGCCATCCTCTGAATCATTGCTGGAATGCGGGACATTGCGGCTCATTTGATAACTACAATTTAGAGTCTTCAATTGCCCGAAATCTATTCGTGCTACGATTATAAACGAACAGGCTGTTCTACTTGCAATTACAATTACTTCAGTGATATTCCAATTCACATTCCATTTTATCTGGCTACAAGGCTGCACCTACATCGCTTTATAGCCCCCCTACCTCCATTTTACTCACCTAACAGGTGGCCAACAAACACACTAGGATTCTATATATTCTACTAAGACATATATTCATTCCATTTATTCTAGGACAGCGAGAAGAAGACGAGCAGAAACCATTGCCAAAAGAGTAAACATTTGTTCATCGTTTTTTCAGAACGAGAGGAAGATAAAACAACCATGAAAATTGGGAAGAGCAGACGAAGAATATAATAAATGAAGCGAGAACCAAGCTGTCTAGGCGGCTGTACCGCACTTCGATCTCCAACCAACTCACCATTTAAATCAGCGTTGGGTAAGCTTATTCAGTTTAAAAATAATAAAACTGCAATCACCCAAAAAAAAAACCCTATCAGTCAAGTCGAGAGCAGCGATCACCAAGTGTGGCCTCAAATTGCGTGTATATTATTATTATTCCTAGATTAAGCGCTCATCAAAAATCAATTTCAACGTTTATTGATTAATTCGTAGTTTTATTTCTGAAAATTCTGATCCGCATTGCAGAATTGTATTTTCCGGATCTCTTTGCTAAAGCGAACTGGTTCATCACTGACTTCTGCACAGCTCTATTTCCCTATTCGACCCACGGCCCCTGCCGCCACCCAAGATACCCGGGCATGTGCACATTTTAAAAGGGAAATTTAATAAACCTTGTCCTATTTCATGCTCATTAGTGTCATGATAAATTGGAGAACCACGTAACCAGACCCGACCCGACCCGACCTGACCCAAGCATACCGGAGCAGACCAGTGGCCCTGCCAAGCAGCGGACAAGGGGAGGGGCCATTCTCAGGTGAGAGAGAGAGAGTGGAATGGCGGCCCATGTAAATGTGGCCCGGGTAGAGGTTCTGAGGCCAGTGGCGCTTAACTGTTGCATCCTCGGAAGCTCGGAAATGGCCATAAATTAGAAAAGTTCTCCTCTGATGCGAACAAGTTGCCTTTGATTTGCCCGATTCCCGTTTCGCTTGCCGTTTTATGGCCGTTTAATGTGCTGACATGTCGACAATTACAAGAGAAAGATTGTTTTCGCGAGGAGGAGAGCAGAGCAGCGGAGAGATACATATAGCCGGGGTGCCAGGAGGTGGGCGTTACAGTTTATATAGCTCACATAAATTTCAGGCAATAATCTCATTGTTTTCACATGCGCTTCATCGCGCGGTTTTTATCACGCATCGGAAAGTCAGAGGCCCGAGACACTTTTGCTCATCTTGTTGGTGTTGCTTTTTGTTGGCAACAAAGTTTGCCCAGACACAATATGTCTGCGGCAGTCGGTTGTCTATATATCTGTCTGTCTGTCTGTCCTACTGTCAGTCTGTTTGTCTCTCCGTCTAACTGTCCTTTCGGCTTTGCTTGCATCTGCCAACTGATGATGTAGCTACTTTTATGGTTGATGTTATTACTTTTTTGTTGAAGCTCTCTCGCTCTCTCTCTTTCTATCTCTCCTGCGCGTTTTCCTTTACCCCTGCATCTGTCCCTTGGACTGACACTGCGGCATGCAACAGCATAAAAAGTTGGAAGACAATTGGGCGGACAGTGTGGAAGTCACAACTGCTTTATACCCTAGAAAAACATTTCATGATACGCACTTGGAATGTGATCCAGTGATAGTCCAATGAGCGCACTGGACTTTCCGATACCAAGAACTAGATTGTAAATTATAATAATTATTATTATTAATTTAGCAATTTATTACAGCGCTGTGTGATAACCTGCATGCAAACATGGCCTAAATCCATACAGTCTTAGCAATTAAACAAATTAAAATGGTATTCTTTTTATGCATATTTTCAAATCATTCCAAAATATACCAAAATAAGTGTGTGGTACTTTTTCATCATATGTTACATAGATGTCCCCGCACCGTAGGGTATCTAAGCCAACTCCCAGCTCCATGGTGCTGTTGGTCTGCTCTGTTGGAGCATTGCTTTTTGCCTTTGTGGCTGCTGCTGCACTTCAGACGTAGCCGTGGCCGTGGTTGGCGACGACATTTAAAGCGCCATGAATATGCAAAACTTTTACACTTGCTTTTTATGCGCAAATGTATATAAATCGAGCAAAGGAAAAAGTGAGCAGGAAAGGAAAACAACGCGCTTGGCAAAAGGATATTCTCTCCAGGGCTGCTCTACCCGGACCCACTGCTATTAGTCGCCAACATTGGCAACTTCTGTTACCAGTGGCCGATCCCCGCCCCCCCGCCACCGACAACGCGTAATAATTCTCCAATAACAACAGAGCGGATAGCCGGAGAGCCGGAAAGTGCGGACGGGGGGGCCAAACCGTTTGTCGGTTACGTGGGATTGGGTATCCGGCAGAACTCCATTTCAGGCTATAAAATAAACACTCACTCACTTCTGCTGCTTGTTCCGCAGCTCCTTGTCGCGCTATCCGGGTCTCCATTCTCCATTCTCCATGCTCCGCTCCTCCTTGCCGTTTTTTGTCGCGCTCTGCTGTTAAGTTTTCGTTCTTCTTTTTGCATCTGCGGCTTGGCGAAATTTGTTTGCATTTGCAATGCAGAATTAAATTATTGCTTCCTCCTGCCTCCCAT